TACTATGGCTTTATGGCAAATATTGAAATCAGCTAACATCAGTTCCCCACTTTTGTTCTTGTCATTCAATATTGTGATGACTCTGCTGGGTCTGAATATTTTTCTTAATAAGTTCTCACTGTCACTATCTTCCCTAGAAAATTCTTCACATTTTTAAGTCCTCTTTTTTCTTATTCACTTTCAAGTAAAAGAATATTTCATTTTTAAATATTTTAGACAATCTGCTCACTATTCATATTCTAGTTATAATTAAAACCTGTTCTGACAAACAAATGCCTCTGTAAGATTTCATTTCTCCTCTAATTATTTTGAAAGGTAGACAGTTTAATTCATAGAACTATGCTACGGCCGTTTAAGGCTGTAATTATTAACTTTTCATGTCAATGTCCTTTTAAAATTAAAATTTAAGACACCCAAAAAAAGGATATGTGTTGACCAATATCATGAGAAGAAGCATAATAAAGAGTTTGCAGAACTGAGACGTAAGAATTATTTCTTACCATATGATAGTTACTTACTGGTATTAGTTTAACATATTAAGTAGTACACGACTGAAGCATGTAGTGCAAGCATCATTTATAAGACTATATTGCTTTCCAGGGCACCTGGGTGGCTCAGTTGGTTAAGCTTCCAACTCTTGGCTTCAGCTCAGGTGGTATTCTCAGGGTCCTGGGATTGAGCCCCACAGTGGGTTCTGTGCTCAGCATGGAGTCTGCTTTTCTCTCTCCCGCTGCTCCTCCTCAACCCTCATTTTCTCTCTCTCTCTTTCTCTCAAATAAATAAATTAATTAAATCTTTTTTTTACAAGACTATATTAATTTCCTATTGCTGCAGTGATAAATTACCATGAACTTAGTGGCCTAAAACAATACAAAGAAGTCCAAAATTGGTCTCACTGGGCTAAAATCAAGGTATTGGCAGCGTGTGTTCCTTTTGGAGACTGCAGAGAAAATTCACCTCCTTGCCTTTTCCAGCTTCTAGAGGCCCTCTGTACTCTTTGGTTCGGGTTCCTTCCTTCATCTTCAAAGCACTTCATTTCAAGCTCTCCCTGCCTCATCCCACCATCTGTCTCTGATTTTGACACAATTGCTTTCCTCATATCAGGAATCATGATTACAATGGGCACACCAGACAACCCAGAATAATCTCCCCTTCTCAGAATCCTTAGTCAGAAATGTAAATTCTTTTTTTTTTTTTTTTTGTCATAATAAGGCAACATATACACAAGTTCAGGGAATTTCTATCACTTTTGTCTTCACAGTGACCATGGGATATATGTACTCGGAGCTAAAAAGATAAAATCTATGGAGACTTTTGCCCTTTGAAGTTCTTAGTCCATGGTCAATCACTAAACCTATCTTGATGGAGATATAGAGTGAGAAAAGGGGGGGGGCTCGGACCAAGCCTGGAGGAATTTCAGCTTCTAAGGTCTGGCAGAGGATCATGTGGTGGAAGACACAGAGAGTGAAAAGACTAGAACAGTGTGATCCCAAAAGTCAACCAGAAGATTTTTGTTTCTACTACAGCTCCATGTGAGACACTGGGCGAGGTACTTAGGCTTTCCAATCATGAATTTCCTCATTCATGTCTTCTCCACAGAGCCACTGTGAGGACTTCAACAGTGTAATGCTGTAGAGACTTAAGCTCAGTCCCTCAGTGCCTGCTGTCACAATGATCTTCACCGCCGCCACGGTCATCCTTAGGGATGAAGTAGGATGCAGGTCTGGAAGTGTGGTTGTGCCACTCAGATCTCTCTGGCTTGCTCCGGGGGAAGAATTTCTCTTTTGCTACCCAGGCCCTTTGCCCACTGTGTCCTTTCTCAGATTACAGGAACTTCTTGCAGGCGAATGATGAGGTATCCTGATTCCAGCTCAGCACTAAGTCCTTTTCCTCATTTTACTCAGGTATTTGCATTTAACATACAGATAATTGGGGAGAAAAGAGTGAAAGGGATAATGGTATGCACAACAATAATAATACTCTAGAGTGTCTTTTTGTAAAAAAAAAAAAACTATAGCTATAAGACAATGGAAAATTGATCAGCCCTTTAGGTTCTGAAAGATCTGGATGATATATTTCACTTCTGAAAATTTTATAAGAAAGTACTCTGGGGGCTCCTGGGTGGCTCAGTCGGTTAAGCCTGAGCCTTTGGCTCAGGTCATGATCCCAGGGTCCTGGGATCAAATCCGGCATAGGGCTTCTTGCTCAGCAGGGGATGGGGGGGCCCTCCGCCCTCCCTCTCCCTCTCCTGCCTGTTCCTCCTCTCTTGCTATCTCTGTCTCTCTCTCAAATTAATAAATAAAATCATTTTTTAAAAAAGAAGGTACTCTGAATTATTAATGAAATTTATACTTACAAGTGCATAAGAATCAATAGTTTCACCACTTAACTTTCTTTTGTAGTTAAATGAATTACTGAAAATATTTAAAAGAAGATCTTGTTGAGAAAATAATTGCAATTATTCATTCAACATTGTACACAAAGCACAAGAGGGCAACATTTTTTTAATTTAAATTTTAGATCCATATAACACTAAAAGTTATGTTTCTCTTCATGTTATATCCTGGTCACTGAAAGGTAACCTTAACCAATACTATAAGAATTTAAAAATATGGAATTTTAATTAAAAAATTAGAATTGTTCAGACTTAAGCAGTAAAATATAGAAGGTTTTAAGTACTGTTTGTGTTTTAGGTTTTAAGTACTCTTAAAGTACTTTAAGAAATAGCCAAAAATTTTTTGAAATCGTTTCTCATTTCTCCTGGCAGTAATTAACAATCTAACTAATTTTATAATTGTTTCTTTAGATAACATATGCCTCATTTGTTATATGTTTCAGCATAGTTGACACAAAATGTTACATTATTTTCAGGTGTACAACATAGTGATTCAACTTCTCCATACATTATGCTATGTTCACCACAAGTGTAGCTACCTTTGGTCCCCATACAATGCTATTACAATATTATTGACTATATTCCTTATGCTGTGCCTTTTATTCCTGTGATTTATTCATTCCATAACCATAACCCCTTCACCCCTTTAGCTCAATGTCCCATCCCCCCTCCCCTCTGGCAACCATCAGTTTGTTCTCTGTAAACACAGGCATGATTCTGCTTTTTGTTTGTTTGATTCTTTATGAATTTATTTTGTTTTTTAGATTCCACATACGAATGAACTTGTATGGTATTTATCTTTCTAAGTCCAACTTATTTGACTTAGGATAATACTCTCTAGATCCATCTACATTGTCACAGATCTCATGATCTCGTCCTTTTTATGGCTGTGTAATATTATACACACACAGACACACACACACACAGACACACACACAAACCACATCTTCCTTATCTATTTGTGTACCAATGGACGCTTAATACTAATTCAGAAGAGATCTAAGCACGCTTATGTTTATTGCAGCATTATTTGCAATACTCTTAAATATTTTTAAATGTCAGAAAATAGTAAGTAAGTTGATTACAAGTAGAGTGAATTGTTGCTCTCTTACTAGACTTTCACAATGAAATATAGGTGGGGAGTGTATCCTTTAATAGACATTTTTATGCATAGCACTTTGTATCAGAGAGCATTTTTACAGTAAATGATAGTATTCACATATATTATCAGTTAGCTTTTTATGTATTTATGAGTGATAAAAAGTAAGAGAAAACTTCTTGCAATATGTACAAAGTCAAAGCTATTAAAATAGCCATCTGCCCAAGTCAAGACTGCTGTGTGCACAATAATGTAAAAACAAGAGTTCTACTAGATATCATTTTTAAACTTTATCTTACTGTACTTGACCATATGAGTTTTTACTCCAAAAACAATGGGATATAGGGAATGTTCAGCACCAAATAAAAAGATTATGGAGACCACAGAGCTGTATTTACCCTCCCCTTTACACATAACTAATCCATTCAATTATATGCTTTGAAAACAGTAAACTGCCTAAAACTATTTATGTCAAAACCAATTTGGATGAAACAACATAAAAACAGAGGCAAATTTTTTCTTTAAAGGTCAGAAGATTTCTGTATTCCTATTCATAAGTATCCTTGATTTCTTGCTTCATTAAAAAAAAAAAAACCCTGAAAAGTATAGTGATGCAAGATGCAAGATATAGTTTATGCAAGAAAGATGGCAGCAAAGAGGTAAACAAATCAAAGCCTTTGGCTCTAAATCAACAGAAGGAAGTTACAAACATATATACACTTCAAGTTTATATAAAATTAAAAAAAAATTTGTGCTTCCTACTTCAATTGGCTTTTTAAATTAACCAATGATTTTCTAGCCTGATGTTGTCAAATAATTTGGTCTATAGAACTCATTGCTGGCCCAAACTGAAGTGAGGCAGTCTCATACACTAGTGGGAGAGTATAAATTGAGGAAGATTTACAGAAAACAAATTAATCTTACAAATGCTACTATTTTAAACACTTCTAGGAATCTCTCCTATGGAAATAATTCATTAAAATTTAGGGAAAAGACTTTATGTAAAAATGCTTGAAACTAATCTTTTATATATATAAAAATTACTGGAATAAATGATGGTGGTGGAGTTCACACACACACATACACAAACACACACACAATGGTATATCCACATGATAAAATTTTATGCATCTGTTGAACATTTAAAGCCATAGAAACATTTAAACATATAGAAAAAACTTTCCTAAAATAATGTTAAAATGATGGAGTAAATTACAACTCTGTATATAGAAAATGATTTCAATAGTGCTTCCTTCTGAGATGCCTGGGAGACTCAGTCAGTTAAGTGTCAGACTCTTGGTTTCAGCTCAGGTCATGATCTCAGGGTTCTGTGTTCGAGTCCCACATCAGGCTATGTGCTCAGTGTGGAGTCTGCTTGAGAGATTCTCTCTCCCAATCCCTCCTCATCTGCCCCTCCCCCCACTCATGCTCTCCCTCTGTTTTTCTTTCTCTGTGTCAAATAAATAAATAAATAAATAAATAAATAAATAAATAAAGTCTTTAATAGTGCTCCAATAACAGCACATATACTAAAACTGGAACAATACAGAGAAGATTAGCATGACCCCTGTGCAAAGATGTCACCTAAATTCATGAAGCATTCCATATTAAAAAAAAAGAAAAATTATTCCAATAAACATAAGAATAAATGGGAGAAACTGTATCAAAATGTACTATTGGATATCTGATTATTTTCTTGTACTTCTCTTCATAGCCTTTTGTCTTTTGCAAATTATATATGTATATATATATGATACCTTTGAATTAGAAAAAAACTAAAATTTTAAAATTGTTTCATAATAAAATAGTCTGGAAAACCAGATTTATAGCTTTATCGAAATGAATAATTGGATTTCTTTTTCTTTTGAGAGAGAGAGAGCACATGTGCACAAGGAGGGAAGAGACCCTCCTCTCTCTGAGGGAGAGAGAGAATCTTGAGCATGCTCCATGTCCAGTGTGGAGCCCAGTGCAGGGCTTAATCTCAGGGCCCTGAGAGCATAATCTGGGCTGAAATCAAGAGTCGGATGCTTAACCAACTAGCCACCTAGCCACCCCCAATTAGATATGTCTCCAAATTAATTTTTTTTCTCAATTTGGGAAATTTTACATTGAGAAGTTTGGGAGGGAGGCAGAGTTTCTGAAGTCATTCTTATTCTCTGTAGGACCTTGTCTTTGTAAGCATAGTTTACATGTTCTAGAACAAAAAAAAATGTATATCAAAATATTGTGCCAAATAGTAAAGGTTAAAAACAGAAAAAGTAGAAATAAGAGATATTCTATGAGAGTTATTCTTTCAATAATGAATATCTCATTGTTCTCTTTTGTAAGATTAAAGCATTTGACTGGCCTTTGTTCTTTCAGTACCAATAGGTTATGCTTTTACAATTTTCTCTCCAAAAATCGTAATTTGTATCCAAATCTACCTTTGCACAAATAATCTCTCTTGATTTATTGCTGGGAAGGAAGTAAAAATGTTGGTGCCTTATATATGCTCTGAGTACCACAACATTTTCCCCTGCCGTCCACAGTTTGCTTCCAAATTTCTTGGTGTCAGCTTTCAGAGGTTTTCACTTTTAAGGGAAGTGGAATTATCCTTTACACATCACTTGTTTAAGCTTTGAAAAATTATCCTTTGGCTTCAAACCACATAATCTTAACTTGCTGCTTTATTTTGTTTTGTTTTCCTTTAGACACTGGAGCATATTTCCCTCCTTGTTTAAATTGCTTTGCATCCCAGTCATTAATTGGTGAATTTTGGGGGCTCAACATGTGTTTCACATAAAGTTGCTAGCTTCCTCTGGGGTTATATGACAGCCTTCTTGAAAGTTGAAGAACAAGGTGCTTGCACTTCATCTAAAAAAAAAAAAGACATAATTTGAACTAATGTAAACTTACAGTAGCCAAGATTACATCATAATAGAGAAGTCTGCAATAGTGGATGTAGGAAGAGTCACAAAGGACAACTTGCAAGGGTGAAATATATTAATGTTGGTATCAAGATGTGAGCGCACACCATGTACACATCTGGGAAGCTTCAGGAGCAACAGAGGGAAAGGATCAGGAAGCAGAGGCTGGTTAAATATTGCACTGCTCTCAATAGGCAAATCAGATTTAAAATAATCTTGAAGTTTTGAGTAAAGTAAATGGAATCACACTCTATAAAGCAAGAAGTGATTCCGTAGCTGAGAGAAGCTTCCTGTAGCTGTGCAAGTTTTATGTGACGTCCTTCAATACTCTTTAAACAAACAGGTTTTGTTTTGTTTTGTTTTTGTTTTTGTTTCTCTTTTTCCTGGACTGTTTTCAAGGTCTTTTTTTTTTTCTTAATAAGCACATGAACCCCAAAGGATAGGATTCACAAGGAGGATTACAAACCGAAAAGAGGTTTAAAATAAAATTACATATACCTAAAAATGAAGTGCTTTTACTTCCTTTCCTTTCTATTAAAAAAAAAAATTCTTCAATGAAAGAGTGAAAGTGTGGAGGAGAAAGATAATACAACTGCATATGGGCATGAAGAGATAAATCAAAGATGAAAAGCTAGAGAAGAAATCAAGATAGAGAGATGAATATTCCAAAGTAAAAGAAGAAATCTAAGGACCATCTGGGAAATAATAAATGGTCCCTGATTACACATAATAATTTTACTGATGTTTTTCTACTAAATCCAAAAGAATAGTAGCATAAATCTTTATAAAAATAACTCCTATTGCCTGGTTTGTTAAAAAACTTTCATTTCCAAATAAAAAGAAACAATTTCAAGAGCTTGAATATAAGACATAATGAACTTTTGCAACACTTTTATGTTTTTGTGTTGATGATCAAGATAAAGCCCCACAACCCTGAATTAACATACAGTATGCATTGGGTTGTTGAATCACGGGTGATTGCGCTTTAGGGTAGGGAAAGGACAATGATAGTCTTATGTGTATGTTTTGATAGCTCCTTGAACATTCAGGGAAATTTTTTATCTTTACATGAATTTGGAAGTTTTGACTATGTGGGACTAGACATTTTATTTATTTATTTTTATTTTATTTTATTATGTTATGTTAATCACCATACATCACATCATTAGTTTTTGATGTAGTGATCCACAATTCATTGTTTTCGTGTAACACCCAGTGCTCCATGCAGTACTTGCCCTCCTTAATACCCATCACCGGGCTAACCCATCCCCCCAAACCCCTCCCCTATAAAACCCTCAGTTTGTTTCTCAGAGTCCATAGTCTCTCATGGCTCATCTCTCCCTCCGATTTCCACCCTTCATTTGTCCCTTCCTTCTCCTAATGTCCTCCACGCTATTCCTTATGTTCCACAAATAAATGAAACCCTATGATAATTGACTTTCTCTGCTTGACTTATTTCACTTAGCATAATCTCCTCCAGTCCCATCCATGTTGATGTAAAAGTTGGGTATTCATCCTTTCTGATGGCTGAGTAATATTCCATTGTATATATGGACCACATCTTCTTTATCCATTCATCTGTTGAAGGGCAGCATCTCAGCTCTTTCCACAGTTTGGATATTGCGGACATCGCCGCTATGAATGTTGGGGTGCATGTGGCCCTTCTTTTCACTACATCTGTGTCTTTGGGGTAAATACCCAGGAGTGCAATTGCTGGGTCATAGGGTAGCTCTATTTTTTATTTTTTTGAGGCACCTCCACACTGTTTTCCAAAGTGGCTGTACCAACTTGCTAAGAGGGTTCCTCTTTCTCCACAACCTCTCCAACACTTGTTTCTTGCCTTGTCAATTTTTGCCATTCTAACTGGTGTAAGGTGGTATCTCAATGTGGTTTTGATTCGAATTTCCCTGATGGTTAATGATAATGAACATTTTTTCATGTGTCTGTTAGCTATTTGTATGTCTTCTTTGGAGAAGTATCTGTTCACATCTTCTGCCCATTTTTTGACTTGATTATTTGTTTTTTTGGGTGTTGAATTTGAGAAGTTCTTTATAGATCTTGGATACCAGCCCTTTATCTGTAGTGTCATTTGCAAATATCTTCTCCCATTCTGTGGGTTGCCTCTTTGTTTTGTTGACTGTTTCCTTTGCTGTGCAGAAGCTTTTTATCTTGATGAAGACCCAAAAGTTCATTTTTGCTTTTGTTTCACTAGCCTTTGGAGATGTATCTTGAAAGAAGTTGCTGTGGCCTATGTCAAAGAGGTTACTGCCTATGTTCGCCTCTAGGATTTTGATGGATTCCTGTCTCACATTGAGGTCTTCATCCATTATGAGTTTATCTTTGTGTATGGTGTTAGAGAATGGTCGAGTTTCATTCTTCTGCATGTGGCTGTCCAATTTTCCCAGCATCATTCATTGAAGAGACTGTCTTTTTTCTGTTGCATATTTTTTCCTGCTTTGTCGAAGATTATTTGACCATAGAGTTGAGGATCTATATCTGGGCTCTCTATTCTGTTCCATTGGTCTATATGTCTGTTTTTGTGCCAGTACCATGCTGTCTTGGTGATCACTCCTTTGTAATATAGCTTGAAATCGGGCAACGTGATGCCCCCAGCTTTGTTTTTCTTTTTCAACATTTCCTTGGCAATTTGGGATTTTCCTGATTCCATACAAATTAAGGATTGTTTGTTCCAGCACTTTGAAAATGTCATTGGAATTTTGATCGGGATAGCATTGAAGGTATAGATTGCTCTGGGTAGCATAGACATTTTAACAATGTTTATTCTTCTGATCCATGAGCATGGAATGTTTTTCCATCTTTTTTTGTCTTCTTCAATTTCTTTCATGAGTGTTCTGCAGTTCCTCGAGTATGGATCCTTTACCTCTTTGGTTAGGTTTATTCCAAGGTATCTTATGGCTTTTGGTTCTGTTGTAAATGGAATCATTTCTCTAATTTCTCTTTCTACAGTTGCATTGGTAGTGTATAAGAAAGCAATTGATTTCTGTGTACTGACTAGACATTTTAATTCCCAAGCTGAGATTTGGGTAAGGACCAAAGACAACGGAAAATTTTAGAAAAGTTATGGTAACCCTATATTTTACCTAAGGAGAAAGAAAAACTAGAAGAGGTTTGAACAGGTAGAAAGACAGAAGAACTACATTTGCTGATGACATCATACAGGATATTTATTTGTTCAATGTAACAATTACACCTGAGTAAATTTCAAAGCAAATTAATGATATCACATTTTTTGAACATAATGCAGTAACAATGGTCATGAATAATAATCAAATGCAAACGGTGAAATTAACAAATATTCTCCAATTGAGGTCAAACGAATCCACTATTGCATTTGGAAATTAAAATATAATGAGCTTGACAGGATAAAGTTCTAGGTTTGGTGAAGAGATAAAAGTTCTCTTACTAATGAGCTATATGATTTCACAATGGAATATTAGGCAGTAACTTGGAAATATGGTTAGATATAAATAAGTAAAATTTCCACATGTTTCTTGGGCAATTTTTAAAGCTTTCAAAATGTTGATATAAGCTTTTAGGTGAAAGGCCATTTTATTGATAGATGGTTTGCTAATACTAGTAATTAAAATACTTGGGAACTACATAAAAATCTTTTACAAATATCTTTTGGCAACACAAACTACCTCACATACAGCTCTCAAAAATGAAAATGTTTTGGCAGAGGTTG